CTAGATCTAGATCTAGGCCTTGCCAATCTTGCACACCAGTTAATATGTTACATCAATCTCGTATTTTCTTTTTGTTTAACATACACTTACTTGTATGTTGTACTCTAGGACTTGTATTTGATCTACAGATGAATGATGGAATAGTGTAATTTACTTCTGTACGTTAATTCGGTCTCACTGTATTTCAGTGGGCGGCTTTTAAAAGTTAAAACTGCAAGCGTAATACACACAAATAACGTAACACTGTGTCGTATTTACTTAATATAGGGGAGGGCATAATTATTAATTATTAGGCATTATAGGCCAGAGGAAATTTTGCGCCCTTCACACCTGCGCCCGGGGGCGACTGCCCCCCTTGCTACGCCACTGTAGTTTTGTTTGTTTCAGAATTTTCGCTCAAACCTACGCAAAGGACTATCTGTGCATAGCCGTCCTTAATTTGAACTGATATACCAGGTGCAGCTAGTTAACAGTAACAACTCTAAATGATCGAATAGTAGTATATGACAGTCATTCGTATACTCCATTAGTGGCCCCAAAATGCGAAGCGCATTTTTTTAGGAAGTAGGCCGTGAATCATGAATTCTCCGATTTACAGTTCGAGCACGTTAACCAATAGTCCACGCTGGCCCGCTTAAAATAGTTATGTTAAAATGAAAACATCCAATTGATTGTGGTATTTTGTTTTACAGACCGCTTATGCATTAGATTAACTGACTTGAAACATTACATTTTATAAGCAGCTCGTGTGATAGATTATAATTATTTTATGATGTTTTGCTACTAAGCAGTTTAAGTCTGATGTCAAATGTAGGGATATTTAAATAAAAGAACTAACATTCCAATAAAAGAATCGCTACTTATATTGATCATTAAAAGCTGGATTTAAACAGGAAATATAATTCAAACTTATGAACTTACACAGTATAATATTAATATGAAAATGATTTGTTTAATATTGAACTTCATAGATAAACCTGTGACATCACATAGGCTAAGGAGAAAATGTATACTTAATTTTTTATTTTAGAATTTCTATAAATGTTTTCATTATTCACTGTTAAATAAAAACTTTTTGAGTGTATTGTTTTAGGCTGTAGTTTTATGGACAGAATGTATGTTTCAAACCATTCACACTACCTAAGTAGCTATGCGCATTGTTTCCTGTGTACTTGAATTCTCGCAGGCATGTATTTCGTACAGCAAGCTATTCAAGTAAGCACACCGAATGTCTTTTATTTAACAACATATATACAAAATAACAAAGTGACAAATAACAAGACTGGTCAAAAGGGCGAACGACTCGTCACGTAAGAAAATGATTTAGTTCCGAGCAAACACAATAAAGAAAGTCTTAGCAGGAGTGCATCAAGTTCAGCACGAGGAAGTCAATATAAAATACACTCCAGCCAGTATAAAGCAACTTTGAAAAAAACCAGTAATAATGAAATTTTTCACACGAACATTTCACAGCACATTTTATGGAATTGTAAATTTCCTTGATATTCAGACGTTGTACGATTGTGTTCTATGTTTCCTGAGCAGTTATAACCGAACCCTAAAAACCATAAGAAAAAATAACTCAGCTGCACAATGTAATCTTTATTCGCAAAGAATATGCTGACTGGATTAATAAAAAAAACTCAGCTACACAACATCATCTTTATTCGCAAAGAATATCCTGACTGGATTAATAAAAAAAACTCAGCTGCACAACATCATCTTTATTCGCAAAGAATATCCTGACTGGATTAATAAAAAAAAACTCAGCTGCACAACATCATCTTTATTCGCAAAGAATATCCTGACTGGATTAATAAAAACAAACTCAGCTGCACAGTATCATCCTTAATCACAAAGAATATCCTGACTGGGTCATTAAAAAAAACTCAGCTGCACAACATCATCTTTATTCACAAAAAATATCCAGACTGGATTATTAAAAAACTCAGCTGCACAATGTCATATTTATTCACAAAGAATATCCTGTCTGGATTATTTAAAAAAATCAGCTGCACAATGTCATATTTATTCACAAAGAATATCCTGTCTGGATTATTTAAAAAAATCAGCTGCACAATGTCATATTTATTCACAAAAAATATCCTGAAATGATTATTTTAAAAGAGACAAAATATAGGTAAGAAAATACACCTCAAATAATGTATTGCATTTAAAGTATTTTGAGCTTAAATTCGAGGGAAACGTAATTTATAAAACATAATAACAAATGTATCTTTTAAAAAATATCTTTCAATGTATTGTTTTAAGTTTGAAGACTTTAATACCACCAAATTTGTCTGGTTATATCTTTTAAAAAGCACATAAATGAACTTTGAAAACGCAACAAGTACAAATCCTTGAAATGCGGCTAATCAACATTATTTTGTTTTAATAGCTTAATAATCGTGTGCAACAAATTGCGAACTCTTTATGAAACGTATTGCACGTTATTGGTCTGTCTTAATGTGATCATTCCTAGTCTGACTGCTATAACTCATTAAGTCTTCAACTAACAAGGACTCGGTGACTTAACTCGCGTTTCTTTAACCATTACAAAATAAATGTTATATCACAACGTATTCCTCTAAATGGTAAATAAAGAAATATAAATATTATAATATACTAAATAGAATCAAAAACAACTTATAATATCAGTAACAAAAACATTACCCATTTTTTTTTACAGTCTAACACATTAACATAATATGCCGAAAGGTAAAAAGAAATTGTATCAGCACTTGAGATATCAAATTATTACGTAAAGTTAAAACTTTTATTAATGTTGCATGCTAATATTTCTTTCAACTACTTGTGATGGAAGAAAAAATTTTAAAAACTGATGCGTTTTTGTTTTGTTTTTTAACAAGAATGATAATCATTAGAAATACTCGACCAATTCAAATCAAAAGATGTTTATCAAGTCTATTTTAGGAGAACTCGGGATAAATTGTACTAGCCAAAACATATATTTTTAAATATACTTTTTTCTTACCGCTAGATATCTTGCCAGATTACACTGATTACAAACACTATTCATAACGTTGAATGGTGTTTTTAATTTATTTTCTTCAATTAAATATCCTACTTCACAATACTTAAAAACACAAATTACAGTTTGATAATCTTCTTACCTAGGGCTACTCCAATGACAAGTCGCCCTCCGAGAAACATTCCCTTGTCAATGGCTGTGCCCATAAGCACTGCACCTGCCGTAAACACAAAGCTCGAAAGAATTATTACCGGCTTACGTCCAAATCTGTCTGCAAAATAACCTGCAATGAGTGAAAATGTCCAGGCTGTTGCCATAGTGACACCGATGACTAGTTTTTGCCATGTATAATCTAGTTCAAAATATTTTCGTAAGAATATCATTGCTCCTGAAATAACCCCAGTATCATACCCTAACATAAACCCTCCAACTGCTGACATCAATGTCACTGTATACATGAACACTGGTGCTTTAGGCTTGACCCGGTCCCGAATTAACCCTTCTACATCGTTTAAAAACTCTGAAGACATTTTAAGCGTGTTTAATTTAGTTTAATATTGGAGTTAGTAATATCTAATCTGTCCTTCTGAAGGAAATTTACTCACTTATGTATATTAGATAAAAATTATCTAAGTGTTTATAAGTAATACTATCTTATCTTTACTTTAGTGACGCTAGTAACTCCAACTATACACGCTGAAATCAGAACATGAAAATTCGATTCTCTCGGTGAACGCGTCTGCTCTTCGTTTGGTTATCTGTTGTTGTAAAGCTCGATCGCGGCGACCTCTATGACTAATCTTTGAACTATCTTAACAGATAGTTGTGTAAAAAATCAAACTAAGTGAAATTGTAACAGTTTTTTGTTGTTCTTTCGTTTAACATGATATTTGACGTTTTTTTATATCTACAATAAAAAGTTATATAATCGCAAAACTCAGTTTTATGTAATTACGTTGTCTTAAGAACTTTATGTGTTCACTGGAATTTTTCCATGAAGAACAAAGGATGTTCAAGCTATTTCTCAATGAGTGTATATAGGGCATTTATTCTACTTACAACTGGTGGAACTCAAATGGGCTAAGCAATAAGGACAGAAACTCCGAAGTTTCAAGCCTATACATCCCTAATTTAGAACTGCTAACAAGAAAGAAGGTAACTAGTCAGCAGTAACACCCGCCACATATATACGGTGACTTTTAACCGAATAACAGGATTGAGTGTCACAGTTATAACGCCCCCGCAGTTGAAAGTGTTCTGCTGCTCAATACATTAACAGTTGAGAAGTCACGTGGTAACATCGAACAGCAATAAATGGTAACAAAATACGCATTATGCATTAATGATATTTATGAAGATTGGATAACAAGAAAAATGCATTTCTAGGTATGTTATTATTATTTTACTTTTTATTTACTCGTCCACCGATGGGTTAGAGGTAAGTTTTTCTGACTTACAAAAAGCTAAAATCCGGAGTTCGATTCATCGCGATGGACAGAGCTCACTGTGTAGCTTTGCGTTAAAAATCCAACAACATTTTTTTTCATTTACCAGTTCTTTAATTAAAGTTTTAACTGTTTCTAGTGATAAATGTTATTCGAAGATTACTGTGGAAAATATTGAAGATTTTGAAGAAAATTTTCTTTCGATAGAACTCATGTTTAAGCAAATAAATACGCGTAATCCTCATTTCCCAAAGACATTCGTTTTGCGATTAACACCTTACAGTTTGTAGTATTTTGCGTGTATTTCAAGGTTTTTCACTGTTTGTTTGAATTTCGCGCAAACCTACAGAGGGCTATCTGCGCTAACTGTCCCTAATTTAGCAGAGAAAGACTAGAGGGAAAGCAGCTAGTCAACACCACCCACCGCCAACTCTTCGGCTATTCTTCGACCAACGAATAGTTGGATTAACCGTAACATTATCACGCCCCCACGGCTGAAAGGGTGAGCATGTTTGGTGGGATGTGGATTCGAACCCACAATCCACAGATTGCGAGTCGAGTGCCCTAACCACCTGGTCATCATTTTTCATTGAACACCAAACTATTAAATCTAACAGAAAATGAATTATTATTGTAAGATATTTAAGTCTTTCTACTTAGTAGCTCTTGTTAATATAAAAAGACTGATAGATAATGTTGTGGAGAAATTATTAATATTGTAATATACTGTGAAATATTAGTTTCTAGTTTTATAATTGTTTTTGTCACACAGAGCATAATGAGGTCAAATCCAGAAGAACATAAATATCGTTTATGTACAGAACAGAAAACCCAAAACTAAGGGTGGTGTAATTATTAAAATTCACATATGAATAATAATCGTTCTTGTTTTAAAAAACGTGAATTAAAAGTCAATATTTATATTTCAGTGAAACAATTATAAATTATAAAAAGTTCAGTAAAAAACAACTTAACAATAGATATGAATAAAAACCCTATAACGCGAGCGCTTCCGAAAGGTGGACCTTTCTTCTTCAGGAGCAAACTCAAGACTTCTTGAACCTACGTGTTTTTCTAACATCATGAATTAACAATAGATATTAAATCATAAACTTAATAACATATATGAAATTAATAATAGATCTCCTAACGTAAATTGATAACAAGCTTTGAAAGTAGATGTAGTGGTGAAAATACTTTAGAAATAATAAATCTAACGTACTTTGATAACAAGATTTGAAAGTAGATGTACTGGTGCTGTAAATACTTTAGAAATAATAGATCTAACGTAAATTGATAACAAGCTTTGAAAGTAGATGTAGTGGTGTAAATACTTTAGAAATAATAGATCTAACGTACTTTGATAACAAGCTTTGAAAGTAGATGTAGGGATGGCTAACGCAGATAGCCCTCGTGTAGCTTTGCGCAAAATTCAAAACAAACAAACAAAACTTATAGCAAAGGCACATCGGGATATCTACCGTATCCATCGAGGGGAATCGAACCCCTGATTTTATCGTTGTAAATCCGAAGACTTACCGCTGTCCCAGCGGGGGGGCTTTACAGTTAAGACCTTACCAAACTGGAAATCATTCATTTTTCTCTCAAATACATACAGAAGCCTAATAGTAATTTAGAGATTAATTGTAATATTGATAGTATTTTGGGTTTATTTTTTATTTAATTCATATTTTATCAATAACTCTGTCAATAACAAAGCCATGGACCTACAAGCACTTTGACGTATGAATGGCTCAGAAAAATGTTTTTATATTATGGATAACTAAAGTTAATTGCGACTACTACTGCCATCTTTCGGTGGATTGTGAAACAGAATCGCTCGTTTCAAAATAATCAGAACAAGATAATGATCGAATCCCGGTCACTAACATACAAACACAGTCCTTTTCAGAATTTCTCTGAAGACGGCAATAAAGTTTCAACGGAAGGTATAGACTAGTTAGAAATTATAATCTAGTAATAAAAAAATTAGTACCTAGTGGATGATTAGACGTTGATGTTTGTACAGGTTATTAACCATATCAAAAACTGAATCGGAACGCCACAACCTTACCGTAGGTACTGAAACAAAATAAAGTTAGAAATATTAGAGCATCTCTGTAGTTGTCTAATTTGGGGCCAACTTTGTTCTTATTTCATTCAACAACTGTTTTTCTTTCGAAGTCTTACATATAAATGGAAAAACAGTTTGTACAATTTATAATATTCATAAACCATTCATGATTACTTACATGATTGTATGTAATAGTTACAAAACGGTTTTTCCTCATAAGTTTAAATATAATTATGTTAGAGACGTACTGAGGGTTAATTTCACTTTATGTGAACGATGTTCCAGGTTCTATTCTGCACTTGAAACAACTTTCTGTATCGTTGAACATACTCAATCTAATGACCATTATTACGCAAGTCCTGTTGTGACAAGGCTCTGCAAAGGTAGCTAATCTTAAACGTACATTTTGACAAACTTTCCACGAACCCTCTATTATATTTAGGCGTCGGCCTCCAAGAATACATTGAAGCAAACCAAATGCACAGCAAGCAGTTCATTATTTCTGTTTCAGAGGGCTTTACAACTACGAGGTCAAATAAGGTTGCTATTACTCCTGTTTTCCGGATGTCTTTTTCATAAAAATGAACTTTGATTTCGAGGGGTGGCTATAAGCTTGTAAACTTTTGGCTTGAGAGCCTTCCTCAACTTCAAATCTATGTTTTGATATTGTTAATTTCCTATGAAATATTCTCAGTTTCATAGCTATGGCTTTTTGAGTGGGAGGATTCTCTTTCGAAACGATATCGTTCAGTTTCCAGATGTGGCCGTCGCTCAGGCTTAACCTGGAACCGAGTTTCAGAGCCCGTTGCTATCCTGGACGTCCGGTTGCACGAGTTTTTCTGCATCTATATATTACATAGAAAATTCCCTTCTTCGATATGTTGTGTCCTTTGAGTCAATATCGTTTAACAACCTTGCTATAGAAAAATTGAGTCACTGTCATTTAACACTCTTGCTACAAAAACATTGAGTCACTGTCGTTTAACAACCTTGCTATAAAAACATCTTTCATTGGAAGGAGCTATAACTCTATCTATCTCAATCTATCGTAACGGCACTACACTCGAATGATCGGGAGTTCACCATGAGTCAAATATATATAGTTGATAAACATGTAGCCGTGGCACCATGGCTCGTCTCTGTGGTGACACGCTGCTCTCATTAGAAGATACATCATTAGTATAAAGTGCAGTTAAACCACTGTATGTGCGTTTTTTCAATAAACATAACTAATTTGTTTAGAGAAAAAAACGGTGCCAATAATTTAATACTAAATGAGGTTTTAGTCATATCTTGTTCCATAAAAAAGTGTTGGCCAGTATTTCTTCTCGTTAAATGTCAGTCAGCAACTTCTCAGTCAGCTCTTTTTTAAATTACGTTCCACTCAGAAAATACTTGTTTCATTAACTCCTCAATAAATAATTATTTTATTAACTCTTCAATAAATACTTGTTTCATTAACTCCTCAATAAATACTTGTTTCATTAATTCCTCAATAAATACTTGTTTCATTAATTCCTCAATAAATACTTGTTTCAGCGAATAGTTGTTCCAACAACGCTTCAATAAATACTTGCTCCAGCAACGTATTTGTAAACACTTGTTCCAACGATACCAGCCCCCCAGTGGCACAGCGGTATGTCTGCGGACTTACAACGCTAGAATCATTGTTTCGATACTCGTGGTGGGCAGAACACAGATAGCCCATTGTGTAGCTTTGTGCTTATTACAACAAACAAACATCCAACGATACCTGAATAAATACTACTTTTACCGATACTTTGGTAAATACTTATTTGGCCATCATTTCAGTAAAAAATTGGTCAAATAATGCTTCAGTAAATAATTGTTCAATAAACGCTTTAGTAAATACTTGTTCAAGAAACATAGTAATAAATAATTCGATGACGAGGAACCCACTTTGAGACTAATAGTGGCTGGAGATGGCTTGAATGGGTAATGAAGAAACTTTAATATAAGTTTAACATAACAGCAAATGTACAACGTTTCGACAAGTACCTGATGATG